GTCTGTATCAGAAGGGAGGAAGTGTCCTCTGATTATCACCGGCCCCAGGAGACCCCTCCTCCATCAGCATTATCAATAAGGTCTTTGGTCGCCCTTTAAAAAGGTTTCCTGCTCATGACGCTGACAGCTTCAGTGCTGTGGGGAAGCACACAGGGTCACTCTGAGTTGGAGGGAACACTGGAGGTCTTTGTTGGTCTCTAAAGTTACTCTCTTGTGTTTTTCTGCCTGTTGGACACGTGGAGCTAAAACCTGCACTGACTCCAAACCCAGAAAAGAGCCCAAAGTTATCAACAACAGGCTGCATGCTACAGCAGAAAACAACCAGCATGTGATGACAGCTAGTCTTTGTGCATTGAGGAGAAAAAGTTGTTTTTATTCCGCAGAGAATGGAAAGTGTGCTGGACGAGTAATGGAGAGAGAGACGCCTTTAGGAGAGAGACTTGGCCTTTAAAGACTGTATTTAAGGACCAGATGCTTTTATCCCATGTGATCCAGAGCGCACTTTCACATTCAAGGCCAATGTGATAAACAGCAGAACTTTTTTTTTTTTTTTTACACAGTTTATGGACATAACCGACTTAAGCTGTGAGTGTGCAACATATCAAACTGGTGGTAATGTAAAAATGTCCGACACTCTGTTTTGGCTGATTTGTTGACCCCTTTGGTTGCCGTAGTAATAGAAAGAATTGCAGACAGATGAAGTGCAAACAATTGTCCATATATACAATAAGTAATGCTGCAGTTCAACAGGGGGAATGAGGTTGTTTTTTAATGTTGCTTATGAGTTCTCCTTTTTGCAAATGAAGTGCAGATGTGTGAAACTTTGCAGAAATAAAAATGAGCTAAATGTTGCTCACCCTGTGCTCTAACATGCAACAGATTGGGACATCCTTATTCAGCAAAAATGACCCTATTTGATGTTTGGTCTCAACGCTTCCTGTCATGAATCTGCATAATATGAAGGCTAATGTTTGTTGAGCAGCTGCATGGATAAAAGAGCAACTGGTATTGCAAACAACAAAGTTGTTGGTTGACTTGCTTATGAGTTGGAGATGTGCAGCTCGTGGGATAGCTGCAAACTTTTGGAATCAACCGACTAAATAAAAGCTATAAATAGATGTTGTTTTTGGTTTGAAAAAAATCGCAATCAGTGCCAACTTCCGGTTTCCTGACACTGTCACAATAAAAGCTTTATTTGGACCAGTTGAACACTACCAAAATAAGAAAAGAGCTGCAGCCGATAAGGTGTTTGCTTTAGTAAGTGAGTTCAAATGTGAAAAACAAACACACGGTTAGACTGATTGTGATGAAATGAAAATGATAAACAGTTGTGGGAATCCTGCGTGTTGTGATTCAGCTTGAACCCAGCAGATGAGGTAATATGCTGTTAACACTAAAAACTTCTTTGTGAAGTGATTACAGATAACAAATGAATGGCTATCGCTAAGAAATACCAAGAATTAAAGCATCAAAAACAGGGTGTGATTTCATGAAAACCTTAAAAATTGTAACTTCTTAAACACAGCCATCACTCTTGTTGTAGTTGGAAACTGTTTTATTTAATTAGCAGCTTGACAAAATTCCTTACTCTCATTTTTCTCAACAAAAGAAGACAAAAGGCCGCTTTTTTTTTCTCGTGTTGTTGTCCATCCAGCTCATCTCTTGTCACGCTCTGAGAGGCGTAGAGAATGTCCATGAGGTGCTCATCCACTACATGCTACACTGGATAACACAACCCCTTCATCATGTGACTTTCTGGAACTTTTATATCGTCTTATGTGTGTGTAAGAAGAAAAAACATCATGCTCTGCTGAGAGGTCGGCCTTATTTGGCAGTTTGGTGTGCTGGCTTGTTTACATGATATCACATAGCACAGTGTCCAACGTTAATGGGCTTCAGAAATCTTCCAGGGCTGCTTTTTCAAAATTCCAGGTTAAATGTGGAGTAAAGAAAGAGAGAGGGAGAAAGAGCTAACACTAAGAGACTGTGAGAGGACTGCGGTTGACATTTGGTGTTCATTAGTTTTATCTTATGAAGGACTGCTTTCACCTCAGAGAAGCAGAAGTTTAGCATTTAGCCTGGAGATGTCAAACGATATTTGTTTTCAAAGTCACATGCACGTGCACTTATTTCACCCTGAAAAATATAGAAAAATAAAGAAATCACAACTTGCACACATTCATTTCTGTATAATTAAAGATGCAAATGAATGGCACCGTCTTTTTAGACCCTTCAAAAAGGAGATACTAGCTTAAAGATATTTTCACCAAAAGTACCCACAACTTTTAGTCTCTGGAGCTACATTGGGATCATTCCTTGCACCAATTGTTGTTTGCATTTCCACACAGGCTACATAACCCATGAAGATGAGAAACAATAGTCTGCTGACATGTGAGAGACAGAGTGTGAAAATTGTGAATAAATGTATCCATCAGTTCCATTGCAGGAACTTTCCTCAAGAAATAGCTACTTTTGGGGTAACCTGTTTTTCTTTCTAATGATTGTTTAAAAGTTATTTATTGTTTTTGGGGCCTTTTTGTCTTATTAAGATATGATGTCTGAAGAGAGATAGAAAACCTTAGGAGGAGAGAGTGAGGGATGACTTGAAACAAAGGGCGTACAGGAGCCCACGACCTCTGCGATAAGGACTATAACATCTGTACATGGGCATTAAGCTCAGGGACTTTTCAGATGGTACTGGCAGAATTTTTCAAATTTGTTGAGTTCTTGCAGCATTAGGGAGACTTTCATGTATCAGCAGATTAAAGTGCCAACAGGTCTTTACACCTTGGTGAACTTGAGGAACCTTTAAATCACTTTGAAGGTTACTTCTTGGGTAATTTTGGTGGGAATGCAGCTATAGTACCTCCTAAAGTGAAGAAAGATCCTGCAGTAAAAAAGCTCATGTTTGACCTATTAATCTACCTTTTCATTCAAACATACGCACACATATAGATCCCAGGATGCATTGTGGTTTGATGTCAGCAGAGGCACAGATTTGTCCAGGCTGTTTTACAGAGAGAGAGAGAGAGAGAGAGTGAGAGAGAGAGTGAGAGCCTGACGGACAGGGCGTCTGACTCCACTGAGTCTGTGAGGATTTCACTGTGTTGTGTTTTTCTGTCACCACAGCGCGACGCGCGCGCGCACACACACACACACACACACACACACACACACACACACACACACACACACACACCAGCTCACAGCAGCTCATTATATCAAAATCACTGTTAAGTGGTCTGAGGCACTTTGAATAACTTTCTCTGCCTACTGTTTTCGCTCTTATCCCTTAAAGCCTCACACATTTTTGTTCAGGGCCAGAAATGTGCATTTTATACAGCTACAATAACTTAGCTGCAGCATCAAATGTTCATTTCTTGTCTTGATTGGCAATAAATTCTCATCCTTGTTTTGTATTAAGCCTTTATCGCTGTATCCAATGAGTTTTACAAATAACTTCAGTGTGACTGCTTTGCTTACATCACGCGCTTAGAGAAGAAGAAAGTGCATTGATAACTCTTAATTCCAGGAAATCTATTTTCTCAAATACAAATACGTTCCACCATGTGAGCAACACAATAAGAAAGCACGTTTATTTATTGATTTGTTATTTTTATTGGTGAGACATCATGATAAAATAGAAATATATATCAAATCAAGCAAGACAATTAATACAAATTAGAATTAAATGTGTTTGAACCAGCACAATTTTAAGTTGAATATTTGTATTTGTTCGTTGGAACTTCAATATCAACGAACGTCAACAAAATTATTCCAGCCAATCATAGAAGTTGTTTGCGGTCACGTGGTCTATCGGAGCTTTTGAGGGGCGTGGCCACCGGTTGTCGTCATGTCAACAGCATAATGAACAGGTGCGCGATATTTAGCGGAAACCGTATATAAGTAAGAAGACGAGGAAATTATAAAAATAATCTTTCCACAGATGATTTAGTGGAGGCATGTTTGGTTCAGTTGTAGCTGAATGACTATAGAACATTATTTTGTATGTAATTCGTTAAATTTTATTTTTTGAATCGAGTGGATTTAGAAATTGTGAACGCCATGCTAACGCGCTATGTGAAGCGTGTCAAATCCGGTAAGATTAGCTTGCCCATTCACTCTTTTTTGGTGAATTTTACTCCATCGAAGAGGGTTCAAAATTCATTTAACACATTTTCCACCGCCTCCCTACTTAAAATTAACTAATTGAGTAAAGCTTAGCTGTGGTTAAATTAGTTTTAAATTGAGAATATCCTGTCGAGCCATAACTTTTGTCATGCTAACAGTACATTTCTCCATGTGATGCTAACTGCTCCACATGTGCGGTTGTTTTTTTCTCTCTCCTGTCACACAACAAACAAGTTGTCAACAAATTAATCTTTGGTTAGTTAAATCAAGTTCATGGTTATAATTTCTACTTTTGGGGTAAAATGTTTTAACACAGTTTTAACAGCTTTTAGAGGAATCCAAGAAAATCCTGTTGCTGCACCAGGGTTTTGTTTATTGATAATCTATCAGAATATTTTATGACACTTAAATTATCTTTACACTGCAAGCACTAAATAAAAGGTAGTTGTCCTGATAGTTACTACATCTTTTGGTTAACACTTTGCAATATTCTTTCTCCTATTTTGCAAAATAACCTTTGATAAATGATACTCTAACATTTCAAACTCTGTGGCTGTCATTCTGTCTGCGAACACAGTTTCTTCTTTCTTTGACTAAATGATAGCACTAACTTGATCATGCAGAGTCACTTGTGTTGCTGAAACTTCAATTTTGTAGATATGCCAGGAGTCAAGAGTCCTAATCATTACAGCTTTTGCCCTCATTATCTTGGATTTGTTGATTATGTCTTTCTTTGCTCTTGATTTGCAGAAATAATTAGATGATTTGATTGTCAAGAGAAATATATGTGCAAAATTCTTTGAGTTCAATTAGATATAGCAAATAGATTTTGTTGTTTCATGTCTAATCACAGTTGTTTTGTTTTCCAGCGCTGAAAAGGTCGTTTGAGGTTGAGGAGACAGATTCATCCACACATCCCTCGCCCCTGTCTCGTCGGACCACCAACCCTCTCCGCTCTTCCACCTCTTCCGCTTCCAGTCAGCGGAGCTATGACCTAAGCTCCCGCAGCTCTGACTACTCCTCTTCCAGATCTTCTCCCACTGACTCCAATCCACGCTCTCCAAAGACCGGCATGAGGCGAATTGAGTTATCAGGGGCTCGTAACCCTGAGGCAGCCTCTGCCCGCCGCACTGAAATCTCCATTGAGGTCTCCTCGAAGCAGGTTGACAACTCCCCGAGCGCAGGCATCGCTCGCTTCGGCCTCAAGCGGCCTGAGGTCAGCTTGAGCAGTCGGAGTACTCCTCTGGACACCTCCTCCAACTCCTTCTCAACAAACAGGAGGGCAGAGCTCAGCATGACACGGTCCAGTGAGGCCCCTGCCCCTCCCAGGAGGATGGACACCCAGCTGTCCTCAGCCCCAGTCTCAAGGATCCCCGAGCCACCTCAGAGAAGATTAGATCCCCAGTCCCCTGCCATCAGCCCAGTCGAAGGGGCCCTGAGGAGGCCAGAGATGCCCGTCTTCAAACAGCCAGATGGTTTGGTGCACGGCGGTCCAGTGGAGAACAACAACCATCCGCCTCCTGCACCCAGTGCACCTCTGCCGTCCCTGGTGGAGCCTCGGGTGGAGAGAGTGCAGTCTCCTGTCACAGAGACGACAGCCAGACCAACAGACCGTGAGTACCTGCTCAGCTCACCTGGTTTTCTAACAAACGCGTTGTGTGTGTAAAAAAAAAAGAAAAAAAAAGTGGATTGCTCAGGGAGGTGTTTTCGCCTTTTACAATTTTTGGGCCTCTCTCTAACTGCTCCATACACCCTCTCCTTATGCACGTCTTCTACTCTGTTTTTCGCCTTTGCCTGAAGGGTCCACAACATAAAAATGCCATTTAAAACCACTGCTTGGGGTGGGTTGTCTAACCCTCAAACAGCACTTTTACAATGATGCTGACTGAATGAGCACGTGTTAAGCCATGTTTTAATCATCATGGAAGACGCTCTGAAAATAAAGGTTGTCTGTAATTATCCGCACAAATGTTTACTGCTTTAACCAAAATAAACATTTTATAGTACCACACACAGGTTAGCATCTTAATGTTTACACTATTACTGATCATTACAGCCTTTTTTTAAGTCTAAAAACAGTCATCTTGTTCATATAAGTGCGGTTTGTTTTAATTTAATTGTTGCAAAAACTAAGCAGCCTATTAACTTCAGAGTGATAATTAAAGAGAATATTTCCAAAAAAAGCAATGCCACCAAAGAAGCTTGGGAGTGTTTTGTAACTGAACAGAGTATATTATTTAGTCTGCTTTGACCTTTTTCATGTACCTTTTTATTTTAGGTTGCTTAGTATGAAACCATGCCTAAGAAAGAAATCTTTTAATCTCTGTTGCCTCCGGATGGAAAGTTTGTCCCATAACTTGTTGTTTTGTATTTTTCCTAAAGCTGTGTGTTTTATATGTAGTGCCACTTGATTGTTCTTGTTGTGGTTGTAACTGATTTCACTGGTGTCTTTCCAAATCAACTTTCGTCAGTTTTAATTAGCTAAACTGTGAGGAAATCATCCGATTGTTCCTCTTTTAATGTCCCTGCTTTTTTTTCAATGTTTGCGACATGTTTTATTTCAACGTCATCTTGTTAAAACACTAACAGGGCCTTGTTGAGGCAGTTTAAGATGCAGGCCTATGTTTGTATGTAAAAAGACAAAACTACAGACAACCAGTTTGATTTCATGTTGAGCTTTGTAATTCAGTTAGTCACAAATTAGATTATGTATTTGGGAAATACTTGAGGATTTCTGTTGATTCAAATTAGGAGGAAGCTTTGAGGTAAAAATAACAACCTTCTAGAGCATAACATAAGTCCATGCTTAAAGCTGATCAGTCTAGACAAACTGTGTATGTAGGTCAGCGAGTGTGATGATGAGAATCCCAGGGCTGATCCCAGCACAGCAGTTAAAAAAACAAGTCACACAGGAAATCAGCTGGTTAGACCTGCACACTTGAACTTCAATCAGCCACGTTGTAAAATGCAAATAAGGCTTTTGCGGTTAGCAGTTTTTATATGCCTGTCATACATACTTGTTTAATTTGGTAGTTCAAATTAAATCAGTTCTTATTAAGATGCAACTGAAACACAAGGAAAACTAACATGTTTGAATCAATAAATAATCAATAAAAACCTGTCTTTCCCACAAAAATTCACATACACAGCAAGATATCTCAGAAACTTTGGGTATTCCTCATCTTTAAAAACATGAAATTTAATATATAAGGTACCTCATGGACTTTATTTTAGCGCCATCCTGAGGTCAAATGCCATATTTTACAAGTTGAAGTAATAGTGAAGTAATGTGAAATCATTAATTGTTGTTTGGCTTTAATCTAACTCCATTTGGAAATGTGTGTTTTTCAGTGTCATTCTTTATACTTAAATATGATCATTCAAAACTAAGTTTCTACACAGTTTTTAGCTTGAAACCGGTCCTTGCTATGATGGGAAAATACATGGTATATTTGTGCTGGGTTTTATGCCGTTGCTTTAAAATATCTCCTGTCTTGCAGGTTGTTGTTACAGTTTCCCTTGATAACACTTATCCCATAAGACTGGCTCATCTTTATAGTGTAAATGCGTCTCAATGTGTGTCCAATCCATGTAAGTGTGCTTGTGTGTGTGTAGCTCCATTATCTAGAGGCAGCTGTGCTCACTGGTTCCTCTCTCTGGCTGAGAAGTATCCAGGCGTAGGCGGCTGGGAGGTGATACATTCCAAATCTGGAGGTCATAAAACATTCTGCATAAAAATAGAAACCCTCCAATTTCCACTTTTTATGCTGCGTGTTGCCTGTCTGTGTGTCTCTCTATCCTCTGCACAACCATGGATTTGGTTTCATATCTGTGTCTTCTTGAAGATATGTTTGCTCTATAGTTTTAACATTGGTGAATCAGTCAGATAATATGTAATGCATGCTGAATATCTGAGATGTTTTCTTGTGTCAGTAGAGGGGAACTAAGCAAGAAAAAGTGAAAGGATTCAGTCTCACTCTCTGCCACATTTGGCTCGGATTACAACCCTCCTACTCAGTCATGCATGTGCAGGGAGGGAGGCTCAGCTAGAATGAAGTTGAGGAAGAAGAGAGGAGCAGATAGGACATAAAGAAAGAGAAGGGGGGGGAAATAGAGGGTGCAAAAAGAGAGCGAGTTCCTGTAAAAAGACTTCACAGGGAAAAAAAACCTGAAGAGAAAACCTCCCTTTAACCTTTGAGTCGTTTGGGAGTGAAACTAATCGGACAGACAACACGGCTTTGTCAACATGCCCGAAACTACAGTTTACTTTCCATTTCCTCAACAAGTACACAGCACTGATTCAGGCAAATTCTTCTTTTTCTTTTTTAATTTTTACATAAATATTTAGGTATTTTTTCTGACTGGAAAACTGGCAGTGTTTTCAGTTGATATCATATGTTGTTTTCTTCTGATGCAGCTTGTTTCTGCAGTGTTTCCAGCAGGACATTGGCGATTATGTGTAGCCCATTTGGCCTGTTGGAGTTTAGCTTCCTGCCTTATGTTATAATGAACTGGATCTGCGTACCTGCCTTTGGGCTCAAAGTGTCTGTTTGAAGTGTTTATTGTACACAGTCCTCCTCTCACAGATGACAGGGTTAAGAGCGTCTCCCTCGGGGGGAGAGTTTGTGATGATGAACATGCTATCTGGTTGGTTTTGTGGCGGATGTTGTCAAGAACAAGGTGCTGTAATGACATGTTTCGCTTCGGTACATTTACCTGCTATAATGATGAGCAGCTGTATCAACAGCAGCTGATTCAACAGGATGTGATCTCATGTTTACAGGCAAACACATTGATTCATTCTGTAAACTACTCATCTTTGTTTTCTGTTACATACGTTGACCTTGAATTACATGGCTGCTGTTCAGAGGTTTTAACATACCCAAATTTTAAACTTTGGACCAATACTAGAAGCTACTTACCTGCAAGTTCATAATTTAAAAAAATGTAGCAACCAGTTGACATTTCTGTCTGTAGCAGACAGCAAAGGATGCAACGTGCATCTTTATGAGGTGCTAAATCGTAGTTACGAAGCATCAGTGTTTGCCAACCTGTGAATGAAAACAGTCTGGTGTATCATGGCTGTGTCAGAGCTGTAGGTGTGATGGAGGGCAGAGCTGAAGGACACAGAGAACAGGATGAAGAGCTGCTTTGGCTGCATACAAACTAAATCCAGAAAACTAAATCAAAAACGCTCCTGTGCACAATTAAACTCAGTCTTCTAAGCAGAATTAAACCGATCAAATTTAGAGATGTGTTGTGTTTCTGATTGTTTCCCATAATGACAGAGTACACTGGTTAACAATAAATGCAAAGTTTTACTTAATTATCATATTATAAGGCAGGAATAATGTGTTTCTTAGAGTACCATCCTTACTTACATTGAACTACAGCTGTTGATGAGATGGTTTTAATAAATGATCGAATCCATCAGTATTTAGTCTTCTTTTTCCACAGACCGAACCAACTGCTGGGCCTGTTTGTCATTAAGAGTAGCTCTGAACTCCAACAGTGTTGAGAGAAATCTTTGATCAACATTTTCATAAAGCTGAGTCTGCAGCAGTTTTGAATGGTGACTCATTATCTGATGATATGTTGGGTCTTGTGCTGGCCTGCTGAGTGCTAACCTCGTTTTTCCCGCATTCAAACATAATTAATCTCTTTCACACAAACATAAAGGCCTTTTGATAGGACTGTCTGTAACTTATCTACAAACAAGCACTTGTGAATGTCACAAGGGATAAAGCAGTCACGCAGATAAGCTGTTTTTCAAGTGGCATAGATACTGTTAAAAACAACAGACACACCTTTTTTATATTTCTTACACATCTTAAGCTGAATAAGACATTGCTAGGAGTATCACTGGTAAATCATACTTTATTCAACATCATTTTCACCCTACAGAAAAAATATAAAACCATTAGAAATTACAATCCTTTTACCAAAAGCAAAAAAAAAACAGACCGTAAATGAGCACTCTATAAAGCCTTCACAGAGGCATCTTCGCTGCAACGGCCCCATGTTGGTCTCCAACACTTGGCCCTTTGCTGCGTGTCATCCCACTGTTTCCTCCATGTTCTCTCCCAGATTTTCACTGTCCTATCAAATAAAGGCAAAATGGCCAACAAGACAAACGTTAAAAAAATGATCAACAAACAGAATAGAAAACTGGCCCTGAAGGAATAACCTGCTGTGAATGATTAACTGATCAAAAGCTTTGCATGTGTAAGATTATGTGTGTAAAAGGGTAAGTAAAACATGTATTATAAAGGCACTTGAAGTGGTAATGTTAGAAAGGCTCTATATGAATGAAGTTACTGTTTTTTTAATCTTTTATATTATTTCAAGGTAGAAAAAAGCTTAAGTTGTTTACAGCACATTTTTATCCAGGCAGGTAAAGTTCATCAAAATGCTGTAATTTGATATTTACAGCAGATGTCTGAAACAGTGCCTTGGAGGTTAAAGACTTCAGCTTTTGTACAAAGATAAGAGTCAACCCAAAGTATGTACTCATCACCTCCCAACATGATTGTAAAAGATATGCTGATCACTGGTTTTAATCTGAATAAAATTGACTGACTGGCTGACTGACAGCACTCTGGAGCATACGAAGATAACAAGCTTATTTCTAAACCTTAAAGGAACGATGTTCAATAATGAGGTTAACTCATTTACTCAGTGCACACACAACAAGGAAAAAGACGATAAAGACCAAAAAAAGCAGAAACATTAAGCATTGGTTGTCATCTGGGTGATGTGGGGTGTGGTTAATGCCTGATCTTGTGTTCCAAGACAACTCATGTGTTCCAAGACGACTAATGTTACTGTTTCCTGTTCTTCCACTTTGTAGCTGAGCTCTGTAGACGTTTCTCTGCCTCACAATACTCAAAAACAGTCCAAGGCAGGCAAGTCTACCCCATGTGTTTATGATGCTGGACACATCAGCATTACTTCCAAAGCGATTGTGGAGACTCAACAGGGTCTGGTAGTTTCCTCCCATAGAAAATTCTCTGATCTGTCTTAAAAGGTTAGTTGTGATGTGGTAGGTACAATTTGGATCATATTCTGTCCCATAGATGTCTGAATTTCCATAATGCTGTGTGATGTACACTTGGTTGATCCATTGATTCCGGACACTAAATATGATCCTGTCCCTGTTTCCTTCGTTCGACAAAGTTGGGGGATTGACAACATAATCTGGAAGTGGCCTCAGTATGTTGTCTTTGAGATTTCCAACAGTGTAGTACTTGTATCCTCGAGGCAGGTCCAACATATTCTCAAAGTTGCCAAAATGATGTGCGCCATACTCATCATTGTCTGGGTCAAATGTCAGCCGTATTGAATTACCAACAATGTCAACTGTGTGGGCAAACCAGTAGAGCAGCACAAGACTGTGCTGGGGTACAGATCCTCCAAAGTCGATATTCTTCAAATCATCAATTGAATCGAGGACTTGCACAGCAGACACAGAGGTCAGAGCAAGGAGCAGAGCTACACAGCACCATGTGACTCTTCCTGCCATCTTCATCATCCTGTAGACATTTAAAAAGTTATCACTGTTACTAATCATCAGCTCCATACACATCAAATCCATGTGCTTTACAGTAGTCATTTTTATTTCATGATTTGTTCATTCTGAACTTAAAAAGATATTGAAATATTAGAAACTCTCAGTCTTGAAAATAATACATCTATTATGATAACTGTTACTTTGCAATGTGTCTACAACATTTGTAATTTGGGGGAGGATCGAACAAATCACCTAAGAGGAGTTTGTTTCAAAAGTGGATTAAAAAGGGCATTATTTTAAGAATGAAGTCAAATTGGCAGACTTAAGTAATAAGAGCCTTTCACAATCTTGACATTGTGAACATTTGTAGTAGTTTTGGGGCACATCACAACGGCCAAATTTCCAATTTACCAAGACAAAGAAATGAGGAAACAAAAATCCTTGTACATTCGGTGCTCTGATCCTAAAAATAGAATGAAGAAGTTACAAACGACCCCGTATCTACCTCCCAGTGATTATATCACATGTTTGTTGAAAATAAAGTTTGAAAGACTTAAGGCTCTACACAATTAACACCCCAATACAAAAACTAAATAAACCTTTTATGAACCTGGTCAATCTTCAATTGGCTGACTCAGGGATTTCCGGCTTTAATAGTTTGCTTAATCTGCCCCTGCTTAAAATCTCCAATCAAAATACATTTTTAATAAAAAAGCTAAATTAAAGTAATTATAATAATAACTATTGTTACAAGTATTTCAAAAAGCCAAATATGTCCCCGTGTCAGTAGCAGGGAAATAAAATTCACCCAGCAGTCACTGTATGTCCTCTTTTCTTTATTTATTGCAGAAACACCGTCTCAGTATTTCCTCTTTTCTCTATCTACTCTAAATGTTTCTTAGAACTTCTTAAACAGAATAAAGTTTGTGCTTCATTTGAGCTGCAGGTTTGAACCGTTCAAGAAACCATCGTAGAGTACAGACTAGTATGACGTTTCAAGGGATTTTTAATGCCTCTGTGTTAGAAATGGAAGACGGTCTGCATTCTGTGGAATTATTTTATTATATATTGAATATGAAGCTTAATCAGTTTACCTGAACATCCTCCAAATGTACAACTATTTTGTATGAAATTTGACCTATTTTTTTTCTACAAACAAATAGTTGTAGTAACAGTAGGGAAAAAGTCAAAGAAGCTCGAGTCAGTTGCTGTAAATCATGTATGTGAATTAGTTTCCTGGTGAATCAAAAACTGTCAATCAGTAAAAAAGAGAGCTCACCTGCGCTGGTCGGCTGCCGAGGGACGTCTGCTCTCTGTGTTTGTGTGACTGCAAACAAAACTCCCTTAGTTACAGTTTCTCTGGAAATGAAATTGAGGTGTGTCTGGCGGTTACCAGAAGTTTGAATGAAACTTAATCTTGAACTTTGAAACACTTGAAGTAGTACTCCCTTCAGGTGAAAGTGATTGCCTGCATTGTGCTGGTAGAAATGCAAAAAGTGATTTCTTTTTTTACATTTATTCAATGAGTAATTCTTCAAAGGGAGGAGGAAATCTGTGCATCATCTGGGTCTGAGTCTTCTCATAATGGGCTGGTTAAGGATGGAAACAAGCCAGTGCAGGTCCAGATTTTACTATTAGTTTTTACTCCAGACTGAGGAGCTACTGGTTGTAGTATAGACCTGCATGATATGTAAAAAAGTCACAGCCTGTAGTGAATGAATGTGTGCGACAGATTGGCTGTTCAGTAGTGTTGCATGGCACTACATTATTGTATGAATGTGTGTGAGCGGTTAGAAGCCAGGAAAGGCTCCTCAAAAATGCAGTCTATGTACTTTTTAATCATTGAAGATTTTTTATTTAAAGGACAAGGGTCAATAGCAAAAATGTCTAAGTGGTGTAACCGTTGAAACTTCGTACCAAAGAATTAAACTTTTCATATAACACCCTTATGAACTTGTCTGGCATAATCTTACAATAGAACTGTTCAATAATAAATAAAAGTAATGGAACATCATTGTTCTTCTTAATATTATAGTTATTTTAGGGAAATCGTGTCACCCAGTCAAGTACCAAATTGTCAACATGGTGTAACCACCATCGAAGGAGCCATTTTGTTAATATATTCATCATATCATGTGACAAGAAATTATATCACAAAGAAGAACCCCTGATGGTCCTAACTACTGCACGCCATGTTTAGCAACTTTCTTTAAAACATGAGATAATTTGACATTTTAAGGGCGGGGCCAGTATGTCAAATGGTATGACCTCAGAAAAACATTAACAATTTATGATAATTATAAAAATTTGTATTCACTTCGAAAATTAGATTTGAAATGTTCACACCAGGAAATGTGCTTACATAGTTCTCAATGATAATGCCTGTCAAATTTGATTTGAAGTGGAAATGTCAAATGGTGTAACTGGTTACACTATTATACTTTTATGACAAGCCTTTCTGTTAGAGGCCACTTTTGTCAAATATCAGTATTTTTTATGTTGATTAAAGTGGTTATTCATCCACAGCCTTATTATCAAAGGTCTCGGACAAAATGCCCTGGCATTTTATAAATGTTTAGCTTCAAATTGCATATTTGTGTTCCATGTACGTACATTTATAAAGGTGCACTATGTAGTTTTGGTAGAGAAATGTGAAAGTTGGAGAAATTTACAAATTATGTGGTATATGTCCATCATAACTCTAAACACAAACTGTCCTCAGATGAAAATTTGGTCCCTGTAACGATAAATAAAATACTACTGGGGAAGTTATGGTGGCCCGCAACAGTGAAAGCGTAACTCTCCTGGTAGCTTTATATCTCCAAATAGTGTTCCAGGGACCCAATTTTTTACTTTGAATAAAGTTTGTGTATTCAGTTCAGAAAATATATCAAAGAATTGTTTCACTTCTCCAACTTTCAAATTTCACAACCAAATCTACATAGTGCACCTTTAAACATGTATGATCTAATATATGTATGCTGTAATATTGGCACCAGTAGTTGCATTTTAGATGTGTGTGCTTTCAGGGGCCATGTGGTAGGTAGTATCAGCATGTCACTACCTGGAGCTTGCTTGCCAAAGTCTGGTACT